TCAAACCCCCACCGAACCACAACTCAAACACAACTGTATAACTCGTCCGAGACATACATTAATGCTAGTTGCAGTTGTAGCATTCACTTGCGTTTCTCAAAAATACGCATGGCACGTCAGGAAATGAAAGATTATAATCATCCATGTCACAGCTGTGATGAGATCTGAGCTTGAATCAATAACACATTATTGTCTCTTCTTTGAACACAAAAAGAAACTTTAGTACGGGAATTAGAGCCAAAGAAAATTTGTCCTCCGTGCAGTTGTGACTTTAGTTTAGTAAGAGCTTTACGGCACTCGCAACTGCATCGGGTCACATATGAGCGCATTTATGACTTAAAAGGAAAAAACATGACAACAGGATTTAAGGAATTCCAACTTGGAACACATGATCTAAGAACACAAAGAGACACAAACACAACACGCTTCTTCAGAATGACAAAGTTCTATCTGCTCAGTTCTTATTTATGAGAAATTCGACGACAAAGATTTTGAGTTTCACAAGATGCCAAGCTCTTTCGAAAGCAATTCTTTGAATATCTTGACAGCGACTCCGAATAATCTTACGATTTTGATAGAGCGGATAGAACATTTGGTGTTTGATCTCAAGGCATTAGCGACTCAAAACTGTCAAAACTGTCAAGACAGAACTTTGTAATTCTAAGGTAGCGAAGAGAGCAGGGCTGGGGGGAGGGGGTGGGAAAAGGTGTCTGGCCCTTGACACAAAACAGAGACAGGTAAAAAGGACCCACCTTGGAGCTCTTCTATCATCTCCACAGAAAATTAGGAGCCCAGATTTTGATACAGTTTTCACAGCAAACCTCATTGTGCCAATGTTGTCGGATGCTTACGTTTGGAAATTTGGAAAGAACGAAACCATACGTGCACGCGCGCACACATACATACATATACACACGCGTGGGCGAGCGCGCACGCATGTACACACACACACACACAACACACACACATAAACACACACACACACACACACACACACACACACACATACACAAGACAATACACACACAACACGTCACAAAAAGACAGACATACACATGATATATCAACAGACCAAGTGATAACGACCAGCTAAGAGTGGCATGACAAGACAAATGGCGAAGCACAAAAGCCATCACACAGCCACACAGAGAGGAGACCAGCATTGTCCACATGTCTACGTGAACAGAAAAGAACCTTCGGAGCACGGAAATGAAAAAGTAAAGACAAATAAATTGTCTTTTTATTTAATAACACAATAGAAAAAGGATGTGGCCTTGGCGCACTAGATTGCAGCCCAAGTAGAAAGCTGACGACCCAAAGAAGAAAGGTAACAGCGATACACTGCCACCCCCTATATTCTAAATAGTAGCAATTTAATACAATAGTTGAGAATACACGTTTACAAAACCTTATTGTAGAACTCTACCATGCATTGCCACATATACTTATAAAGAATACAAAATGAGGCTACTCCAATTCACTGGAAAACTCTCACAATAATACAATATCAGGGCGATACACATCCGTACACCAACAACTTTCCAGAAAACATGCATGTGGTATGAGCTGCCTATTCCCCAGGATCTCAGAGAAATAATAAATACTAAAATTAAATTTTAAGCGATTGCTCAAGACTCATTTGTTTGATTCTTAGTTGTAGTGTGTTAGCAAGTGCTGACATTTTTTGCTTTCACTGCTATAATTAAAGTATGGTTGTTGTGGTTCTTTTTAATGTGGTTGAACTGGTTTTTCTTGTCACTGTAAATTATTTTACCCTGAATGAATGTGATTGATGTAAAGCGCTCAGAGCTTATACGCGTATGGAATAGAGCGCTAAATGCAATATATTATTATTGTCATTATTAATCAATCTGTATCCACCAAAGTGAGATGAGAACGGCTTCTCTCTGTCCAGTTTCAATCATTGTGAAGATAATCAGTTGCCAGATCCATGGCGCTGAACCAAAGCTAGAGAAAAATAACGATGCGGTATTTTTTTCTGCACCTTTTAAGTGACTGCAGTTCATTTTGTGAAAAATAAACAGCCTAGATTATCAATCTTAATGTTGTTGACCTAAAAGAACACATAATAATATCTTCTTCTAACTGCCTCATGTGGGTGCTGTCGGCATGTGCCGCGTCATACAAAC